TCTGGAAGGTCAAAGAGGAAGGATTGCTTGAGCCCCAGGAGTTCCAGACCAGCCTAGGCAACACAGCAAGATATCATCTTTACAAAAATCAAAAATTAGCTGGGCATAGTGGTGCTCACCTGTAGTCCCAGCTACTCAGGAGTCTGAGGCAGAAGGATCACCTAAGCCCAGGAGGTTGAGGCTGCAGTGAGCCATGATTGTGCCACTGCACTCCAGCCTGGGTGACAGAGTGAGATTCTGAGTCAAAAACAAAAGAAAACAGCCTCAGATATTGAGATTCCTGCTTCAACCACATGTTCAGCCTCAGAGGCAATCCCTGTTAGACTGAAGCTTTTGCAGGGCAAGGAGTAAAACAGAATTGTTCTTGTCTGGAGACCTTCTAACTTCAACCCATCTACATTTACCCATCTTGTTTTGGCACATTTAAAGGCTTTCAAAGAAAAAAACTGAGGACTCAGAAAAATATTCTGGCACTTTTCAAGACCCTGGAATTCCATAGCTAGACTGCCTCACCAAGCATGTTCTAGTTTGTATGGAGAAATGAATCACTGATCATTTCATAACCAGGCCGTGTGCCCTGGGAGCCCTGTCTTCTCTTCCTTTTTCAGTGACTCTCTCCAGGGGGGAAAATGTAGTTTGTGAAACCAGCAAAATTGATTCACATAGAAATAACTGTAAACGTTCCAGAAGGCTGGACAAACAACAGTACTAGTAATTTCATCTTTCCATTGATTATAGTTATTGTCCCTAGGAAGAAACTCCTCCCTTCCTGCCCTCATAACTCCTCCCACTGATGCCCCCATGACTGTCCTCCCTATTTTTGCAAGACCAAAGAATCTCTTGAAATGGTATTTCCTTCCCTTTAGACATCACAAGTAAACACTTACTCTAAAGTCCACGAGGTGATCTATTTTTCCCTAACAATCTTCTTTTTCTTTTTTTTTTTTTGAGTTGGAGTCTCACTCTGTTGCCCAGACTGGAGTGCAGTGGCCGCTCCCGGCCACCGCAGCCTTGACCTGCTGAACTCCGGCGATCCTTCTGCCTCATCCTTCCAAGTAGCCAGAAGTACAGGCATGCGCTACCACGCCCAGCTGATTTTTTTATTTATTGTAGAGATGAGGTCAAGCTGCCCAGGCGGGTCTCGAACCCGCGGGCTCAGGCAATCCACTCACCTCAGCCTCCCTAAGGCGCGGGATTACAGGCTGAGCCACCGAGCCCGGCTTCAATCTTATTTTTTAAAGCCAGGCTCAGGCCTGGCATGGTGGCTCAAGCCTATAATCCCAGCATATTGGGAGGCCGAGGTGAGAGGACTGCCGTTCCAGCTACTTGGAAGGATGAGGCAGAAGGATCTCCTGAGCCCAGCAGGTAGAGGCTGCAGTGGCCATGAGCGTGCTACTGCCCTCCATCCTGGGTGACAGAAAAAAGAAATCTTAGTCTTTAGTGATAATCTCAGTCCTTGTGGGATAGAGGTAGATGTTGGGAATCTTTCCAGCCAGTTGAGTATTACCTCCTACATAATTAAGAGTTCACTAATGGGACTCGATTTCAAGGTCCTGTCTCCTGCTATCACTCCTACCTACAAGAGAATCATAGAAACAACACAAAAGATACCTGGTCCTAAACCAGAAGTGAGGACCAGTTGGAGGCCCAAACTTTACCTGCACGTAGACTACTTGTATACCTAATCCTGACCTGTACCCCACATTCTTATAATAAAATAAAGTTTTATATATATATAAAAAGGAGAATCATAAGATTCTAGAACTGCAAGAATCCTTTTGAGACATAATTCACATGCCATACAATTACCCATTTCCCATGTTATATTCAATGCTTTTTAGTGTATTTACAGAATTGTGTATTCATCACTATAATCACTTTTAGGACATTTTCATTAACCCCAAAAGAAACCCCATACCCACTAGCAGTCACTCCCATTTCCCCTCATCCCACCTTCTCATGCCCCCCAACCCCAGGCAACCACTAATTTACTTTCTGTCTCTATGAATTTGGCTATTCTGGACATTTCATGTGAATGGAATCAGACACTATGTAGTTCTTTGTGACTGGCTTCTTTCATTTAGCATGTTTTCAAGGTTCATCCATGCTGTAACATGTACTTTCTTTTCATTGCCGAATAATAGTCCATTGCATGCTTATTCTACATTTTTTATATTCATTTATCAGTTAATAGATATTTACCTGAATTTTATTTTAAACAATTAAATGTGATATTTAGTAGCTACCAGAAGCTTAAAAATCAAGACAGAAGTATATATATCTTATTTTTCTATGTTGAACTTATACCTGAAGAAACATACTTGGGCAACCCCTTCAGGTCCCCTCCCATTGTGGGAGCTTTTCTGTCCTCTCAATAAATCCTGCTTAAAAAAAAAAAAAAAGAAACATACTTATTTTGAAGAACATTTAATTATAATCTCACGCCTGAAAACCAACATTTTTTTCTCCTAATTTTCTGATGTGTATGACAATACTGTGGTAAGAAAAAGTAAAGCCTTGCTCTAAGTTTTCCTGTTCTTCTGAGTCTCAGTAAATTAGAGGCACTTATATAAGGTTGATTGCCTGAGTGACAGCCCTCAGGAACAGAAAGGAACAGACTCAGCCTGGTGAGGTGGCTCATGCCTGTAATTCCAGCACTTAGGGAGGCCAAGGTGGGAATATTACTTGTGGCCAGGAGTTTGGGACTAGAATTTTGTGTCTACAAAAAGTAGCCAGGCACGGTGGCTTATGCCAGTAATACCAGTACTTTGGGAGGTTGAGGTGAGAGGATTGCCTGAGCCCAGGGATTTGAGACCAGCCTGGGCAACTTAATGAGATCTCGTCTCTATAATAAACCAAAAAGTTAGCTGGGCATGGTGGCGTGCACCTATAGTTCCAGGTACTTGGAAAGCTGAGATAGAAGGATCACTTGAGTCCAGCAGGTCCAGGCTGCAGTGGCCGGGAGTGTCCCACTGCCATCTAGCCTGGGTGACAGAGTGAGACTCCAGCTTAAAAAAAAAAACACAAAAAGTAGCCAGGTGTGGTAACCCACGCCTATAGTCACAGCTACTTGGGAGGCAGACAAATATTTTCTGGTTTTCAAAAGTGAGGTTAAGAAGAGAAAGGGCATTTGTGGCTCACACCCAGCCAGCTAGTTGACATTCCTATAACCCAGATACTCGTATATACAGAAACAACATAAGGATGGATGTGGGGTGAGGGAGAGAAAGAGACAGCACAGGCCACAGATTCAGTCTCATCTGATACTTCATAAGACTTAGTGTTTTCATCATTGCCCTTCTGAGTTTATTGGCAAGTCTTACTGTTTTTGTGGGTCACCAGGAGGGTCATCCGTGGGAGATTTTGGGGGACTAGTTCTTGCTTGGTGGGAAAATCTTGGACTTGTAAACACCAAGTTGAGGATATTTATAATCCCGGGAGGTGGTCAATTCTCCCACTAAACCTTTGTTTATCCAAGACCAGTCTTTCCCTATTCGTGAGTCGGGGACAGAGAACTCCTGAGTCACCTGCGGTAGAGAGAAGGGACTTTTGAGACTGTCTTCCGTCCCACTTGCGGACGCTAGATGAGAACACCAGGAAGCGATCCTTGACTCAGCCTGCCCTAGGCTTGGGTGTTGTGTCATTCCCCACACGTGACTCTCTCCGGGCGGCGGCGACCTCACTTGTCATGGGACTTATTCATCCCAGTGACTCCACTCCTTTCCTTCTCAACTCCTCAACCTCCCACTTGCCCCCTTCGCCCGCTTCAAGACTTGGGAGTGGCGGTGGGGGTGGACGGAGCCAGGAATTGCCACTTTCTCAAGTTGGCCATGGGCAGCAGACAAACTCAGTGTCTGGGAAATTGCTAGAAGCGGCGTTCCAGTTTTCCCCTCCTCCAGAATGCTTTGCACTTCCTGTTGGAGGCTATGCGTACTCTTCCATGTCCCAAGACAGTTTTTCCTATTCGAGACCACTTTATCACTTAGGCTGACGCCCTCCCCTTCTGTTTCCCATTTTTCTTCGAGTCCGGAATTCTCAATCAGGACTGGTGTGAGTCCCAGTTCAGCCGGTTTCCCATTCTAGCCGCATGACCTTGACTGAGTTAACTTTTCTGGGCCTAGATTCTTTGTCTGCGAAACGGGACCCCAATATCTACCGCACGACCCCTATCGTGGGGCGCCAGCAAGAAAGCGCTTTGTGAGCCGCGAAGAGCAACAGCAATGCTCGCTGTTAATTACGGACCGCCAGTCAGTCTCCTCGAACCCCTCCCTTTCCTCTGGGACCCGCCCTGCAAATCCCGCCTGGGCCGGCCGCTTCTCCCCGCCCTCCGCCCGCACTTTCCCATTGGCGACCGCACCGTCCGCGCGGCGCCGCGTGTTGACGTAACGGCTTTCCTCCGCCGGCGCCGGATGACGCACGGCGGCCCCGCCCCTGGCCGCGCCCGGCCTCCCGCGGAGCCCCGCCCCCTCGGGCCGACGCGGCGCCAGCCCCGCCCCGCGGATGACGTGTAGCGCGCGCGGCCCGGCCGCCCCGGCAGTTGGTGCAGCGGCGGTTGGGGTGAGAGCGCGCACCCCACCCCTCCCCTCCTCCGGCCCCGGCCCCCGCCCCGCCGGGCCC